CACAAAAATTCATTAATATAGTATGCAATAGTAAAAAATGAGTACCAATGGCACATGCTGAGTACTAGTGGGCGTATGAGGTGGTGAAAGTACAAATTAATCAGTACTTATCTATTTATTCACAACTAAGTAATCCTATCTTCAATCTTAACCAAAATGCAACCCTTATCTGACCTTAAAACAAATGTTTGCCATAAATCTGGTTTCTGTTCTCTCTTAATTCATATTTAAATATTATACCTGATGTAGTTTCAGCGATGCCTTATGTTTGTTTGTCCGACGCTACAGACTCTAATAATTTATGTTTTCCACAGTATGTTCAACTCTTTGCCACCGATTTAAACCAGCGTGATGGATGGTGAAAGAAGCGGTGACGGTGATGGGTTCGGTGGAGAAGCCGAGGTTGAGGATGAGTTTGCCTGTGCAGGGATGCTGCGGGGATCTCTGACTTCCTTACACAGTGCTGTGGAGAGGATATTCAGTGTGACGTTTGGAATTGGGGCCGACGATACGACTCGTGATAGCAGCGGTCAGATATGGCTGAAGCTACAAGGACCAAGCAGCAATGTGAAAGCTGCCAAAGTAAGGCACATTTCTTGGTTCATTCATGTTGTTCATGCCAATGCCATTTAATTCGCCTATAATGTCATAGTAAAATTAGTGGATTAGCGTGTTCATAAGATGTCCTGATGCATGCTCAATAATCCAGGTAGAAAAACATAAAAACGTAAAGTCAGGTCCTGTTTACTTGGTTTATTTTCAAAATAAACATTTTGTAAGTCTTTATTTTGGCTTTTTTTGTACCGAAAATTAATTGAACAGAGCCCTTCTTGAAACTAAACTGAACCCAAATGTGATTTTAGTGTACCGATACACCCCAACTATTAATGCACTACTACTTATGCACTTTTCCTTTGTTGCTTGTGAACAGGTTGAGTTTAGATTTATGAAAATTTACGAATTTGCACTTCAAGTGTTGTCATTGTGTTAGAGTAAATGTCTTGAATAAATTTGACATTAAACATAATCCAAGTTGAAGTGTTACATCATTTTCAGCCCCTTTTTGGCATCTGCATTTGGTAGCAGGCCAAACTGACAAAGACCATGCAGAATAATGTATTTAAATTCCACAGCAGAGAAAGCTATGTAGTCTCTGTAAGTAGGTCTAGGGAAAAAGATATCGCTATTGGTATCGGCCAAATAAGTTTTAGCATATCGGATATCATCCAAAAATCCAATATCGTGCATCCCTAATGTTTAAGGAAAGAAAATAGTAACAACAAAGGTTAAATCGTGTCATCTGGACCAGTTTCTTTAAGTGAGAGACATGTTGTCCCCCATCCAGAGGACTTCCTCAGTCTACAGCCTGCCAACCAGATCTGTCCCATAAGTAGGCTTCACTGCTGTGTTTCAAGCCAACCTCCTGTTGTAATGTCAGAAGTAGACTTTGAACACGTGCAAAACAATCATCATGTACAACAGGTCCAGATGACACGATTTAACCTTTTTTTTGTTGTTTTCTACCTGATGATTGAGCTTAAAACTCTTTGAAAGAAAATACTATTCTATTGTTTTGATGTGTAAATGGTCTAACAAGTGTAAAGTCTGTGGAAATAAGATGTTTGTTTTCAAAATCTTTGGAATCGTTAGACAGCTTAAACGTTGGTGTGACAAGTCATCAAACCCCAAGCTGAACGTTCTGTGGTCACATTTTCACAGTCGTAAATCCTATTTGTGATGGTGTAAAACCTTTTAAAAGTAGATGGGATAGATATGTTTAAGACGGCTCAGGAGCAGAGCTCTCGTGGCTATTTAACGCACTGAAAGAAAAAAGAAGTCCCAGAACAGAAGTGACCTGTTTAAATGTTCACCACCATCATCTGGATGCTGGTTGCTGATTTTTGTGTATATTTATCTGCACTTGAGGATTTTGATGTTGTGCATTAGGCAGCACGGTGGCGCAGTTGGTAGAGCTGTTGCTTCTCAGCGAGAAGTGGCTGGTTCAAATCCTGGCCGGGGGCCTTTCTGGGTGGAGTTTGCATGTTCTCTCCGTGCATGCGTGGGTTTACCCCAGTTTCCTCCCACAGACCAAAAACATGCATGTTAGACTGATTAGTAACTCTAAATTGTCTCTAGGTGTGAGTGAGAGAGTGAATGGTTGTTTGTCTCTATGTGTCCCTGTGATGGACTGGAGAGCTGTCCAGGGTGTCCCCCGCCTCTTGCACAGTGACTGCTGGATATGGGCACCAGTGACCCCCATGACCCAAAAAGGAAGGTATGGGTAAAGATAATGGATGGATGCATGGGTGTTGTGCATTGCTTGGGAATATTCACTATCTCACTAATCTTTTTTTTGTTTTTTTTTTGTAGCAAGTTTTTCTTCTGTTTTTGGCAGGTGCTTTAGTAAAAATGTCAGGCTCTTTCATGAGAATAATATATATTCGCCTCAGTACAAATTTTTCAGCTTGTATAATAATGAGTCCCCAGGGATAGTTAAACCTTTTTAGAAACAACCTTTTGGTAACGGTATCTCACACTGCAACAGCGGGACATGGAAAACGTTACCATTTAAACGTTATTAACATTTGATGACACATGTTTGTCTTTCAGTTATTTGTGAAGGGAGTCGTGAATCAGGAGGAGCAGCAGGAGGTTCAGTACCCCCAGGCCCTTCACTGCATCTTCTGCGGAGCCAGGGGACTCTTCATGGACAGCCTGATTAGAAGCACCTCCGCCATTATAGTGGTGAGTCCTTAACATTAAATACATTTTACCATCATCAATTTATAACTGGTTTCTATTTAATCAACTGAACATTTTCTATAAAATATCAGAACGTTCAGTTTATCAAAGGTCAAAAGATGTCTTCCCATTTCATCAACCATGACTCCAGTAATGTCGGCCTCGATTCTTTCAATTTAAATTAATGTTCAGAAAGCAAATATAACAAAATGCTGTCAACGTCTTAAAACAAAACGGTTTTAAATTCAATAAAAATGTGATTAAAACCTTGAATCACTTCCATCATTGAACAAATCCCACACCAGCTTATAGAGCCATGATGCAACACTGACATTAACTAATAATGCCATATGTGAGATTTCAATTTTTACTGACATAAACAAAAAAATCTCACTGTTTTTCATTACCAGTGTTATGTCATCAGCTACAATTTTGACAGATGTACCAGTATTTAAAAAAATAAAAGCAGACTTTAAATGTAAAACTGTAATAATGTCATTGGGATACATTTAGTTTTTCTTTATTATTAACCTCAGTTGTTAAAATGCAAATGTACAACTCTGTAAAAAAAAAAATCACTGCTTTTTGGCCTTTTTCTTTTTACTATTAGCAGTTTATGGAGGCAAATTACTACAGTTTTAAAGATTGATATTGTCTTAGTGTTAGAAACTGTATATCTGTACGCTACAGTGGGTTGAAGAGATATTCACACCCATTGTTATTCTTTTATTCTTTACTTCCTGGAATTTAAATTATTATGGTTACAATTTTTATTTATCCGTAATAATTCCACATAAATAATTCAGAATGACAAAGTTAAATGAGGAAAAGGGTTGTTTTAAATCATGTTAGGGATAAGACTAAAAACTGATGCTGCATACTGTATGTACATATTCACCCTTCTAAAACTCAATGCAAAGTTGAGCCATCGTTTGCAGCCGTTATATGTTTCTGGCAGATAAAATAAGAGTTATTGATAAGTCTTTTGATTTGTACTCTTAAAGAGAAATTTGTCACTTAAAGCACGTCTGTTCACAGTTTGATGTTAGGACAAACAGTTTTCATGAGCTTCATCCATCCATCCATATTTATCCGCTGCTTCCTTTTCGGGTCGTGGGGGTCACTGGTGCCCATGTCCAGCAGTCACTGTAGAAGAGGCAGACTCTGGACAGGTCTCCATGTCCATCACAGGGACACATAGAGACAATCAACCCATTCATGCTCTCACTCACACTTAGACAATTTAGAGTCAGACTAACATGCATGTTTTTGGTCTGTGGGAGGAAACCGGAGTACCCGGAGAAAACCCACTCATGCACGGAGAACATTTACACTCCACCCAGAAAGGCTCCCAGCCAGGATTTGAACCGGCGACTTTCTCGCTGAGAGGCGGCAGCTCTACCAACTGTGTCACTGTGCTGCCCAAGTATATCTAGTCACTGGAATCCTTGGCCAATCTTCAGACCAAAACTGCTGAAGCTTCTTAATGTTCAATAAACGCTGATGTGTAGAGCATTTTGTGTCGGTTCACTACCTAAACTCAAACCATCCATTTAAATTCAAGGCTATAAGGGCATTAAAAAATAAAAAGTACCAAGGGGGTGAGGATTTTTGCAACACACAGTATTAGGTCAGAAGTGAATCAGATACAAACAGCAAATCAGTTGGTTTTGCTGAAAACTTTGTGATATGTCACCAGAGATTTTGAAGTTCTGTCACTCCTTATAGAAGGCAGCTGGACTTCTTTTCCTGGTTCTTGAAGTTCAGCATCCTTCAGTTTGTGCACTTCATGATTTGTTGTCTCAAAGAGAAACAGGATTAACGCAGTTCTTTTTCTCATGTCCTAACAGGTCGGCTCTCCTGGATTCCTGCTCATATCAGGTCTCGTGGAGCCAGTTGTGCGGGCCTACTCCCTCATCGCAGACCTCAAAGGGAAGTATGAGGGCACACAGTCCAGACGAGCTGACATGGGAAGCTTTGGCGAGTCCCTTGATTCACGGCGGACCTTCAAATCTCTAGTAGAGAAGTGGGAGGACAAACACACTCTGGACCTTCTTGTGCTGCCGGGGTCTGTGAAGGAAATACTGTTGTGTCTAGTGAAAGAGTCTGGTCTTGGATCAAGTTCAAGCTCAGTGCTCATGTTTGAGAAATCTGGTGCAACATCACAAAGGGTTCCTGATGACGAATGGAACAAATCCAGTACTGTAAAACAAACACTCTCTAATACTTTTGGTACTACTGATCCATGGGCTGAAGGAATGGTTGCAGGTAACAACTCTTCAGCTAAGGACTCCTCCTTCAAAGCCTTTGTCACACCTGTAGGCACACGAGAGAGGGCAGAAGGTGCCGAGGTCCTTCACTCTCCTGAGGAGGTGGGGGAAGAACAACTAGAGCAGCAGGAAACAAGAGACACCAAGATGAACATCGGACTACACAATGATGAAGAACAGCAGCAGGCGTCAATGGGAAACAAGGAGTTTTTTCTTCTCCTAAAGTTCTTCACCGCCATGGGGTATACTGAAGACGTTGTTAAACAAGTCCTTGCAAGAACGGGACTTAAAGAGGCTTCACAGATCCTGGACTTGGTTCAACAAGAACAGGATTGCAGTGACAGACAGCCGGAAACTCGTGGCATTGCAAAACCAAACCATCGAAACACCATTGCTCTGGGTCAAGAGGGGGACCAACCCTGTGAGACACAGCATGAAGAGGGAACTTTGGCAGGGGCGAGTAAAGTAGCACTCGGTAAGGAACTAGTAGGAACAGATGGAAAAAAAGAGGTAACAAGGAGCCCAAAAGACTTTCAGGGGGAAGGCTGTTCAAAGTTAGAGGGAGTAGAACATGAGGAAGACTTTGTCCTTGGGGTGTTGAAAAAGGCGGCTGTTAGTTGTGGGTACACAGAGCAGAGCATAACCAAAGTGTACAACAGGCTGCCTGATGGATCCACTCACCAACTGCTGCTGGAGCTACAGAGAGAAGGAAGCAGAGAGGCTGATGAGTTTAAAGAAGAACCGAAGGACAGTCGAGATGTGCTGGAGAAAGAAAGACAAATTACTGAACCAGCTGAGACTCAACCAAAAGGAGAACTTGAGCTGTTTTTACAGAAAGAAAAGAGAGAATCTGATGAAAAAGGACAAGTGAAGGTGTCAAACTGTTCTCTGCCCAAAGCAGAACTAGACTTGCCTACTTGGACTAACAAACCCCAGCAGCTGCCAACCAGTGTGTACACATCACAACCAAAGCAACGGCAGTCTTTGAACCCACAAACCCATAATGTCAAAGGGCCACCCATGTCTACTTATCACTCATCTATGGATACTCAACCTTTTCTGTCTAACAAGCAACAGGTGCACACCACTCACTGGCCTGATGCGATCACGTCCAAGCAGAATCCTCAAACGCAAATCAACGCCTCAAACTTAAACCAGCATTCTTCGAACTCCTCTAAACAGCAGTTTCAAACCCACCCCCACATTTTTACCAACAATGACTTGACCTCTACCAAAGTAAAGGACAAACAAAGATACATTGCCTCTACTTCGCTAGTAGTGACAGGGGAGCAGCGCTTCCTTGAAGGTCTGCAGACCCCTTTTGAACTTAAGCTAACTGATAAACCTGGAGATGGAAAGCTGAGGACAATCATCATTGATGGGAGCAACGTGGCTATGAGGTAGGAAGTACAGAAGGAGTGACACTCTCCACATCATCTTTACCATTGTAATACATGCAGTCTTAAATTATGGAGCAAAAGGTAGCACTGTCATGTCACAATTCAAATTTAGACTGTGCAGGCTACTGGGCAGTAGGGCTGGGTGATAGGAACCAAAATTAATATCTCAATATTTTTAAGATGAATGGCCATATATGATATATATCTCAATATTTTTTCTTTCCATAAAGTAATAAAAAATATATATTTCTGAGTCAAAGCTTTGTCCCTATTGTCACACAGGCACCTTTATTAACAAACAGCTGTAACTGTACAAAGTAAATGTCTCAAAAATAATTTTTTTTTTTTTTTTCCTGCATAACAAAACCAAAAACACAGCTGTGCACTTGACTTTTAAACAGAAAACATAACTGACTTGGTCTTTTAAAAAAACTGATTTTAATGAAGTACATTCATTCAGCCTTTATTAACAAAGCTGTTAGAAAGCCCACATTGTGTAGTTGGCTTGTTTACTGAGCTAGGTTCTGTTTGGTTATAGCTACTGCATGAAATTCTTTCTGAATTTCATAATTCCTGTGCTGTTAAATGCACCGTGGTTGTTCCAACACTACTGAACACTAGGGATTGAACGACTACATAATTTTGAAACTTGAGATTAACATAATAAAACTCGAGTAGAACTCGAGTAGTTGATGACGTCATAGGATTTTAAAATGCAAAAAAAATAAAAAAAAATAAAACCGCCAAAAAAGTCATTTATTTTTACAAAAAAAAAAAAGACCAACAAAACATCAGGAGAGTATATTATGCTCCTACTATTTATCATACTGCAAATAAGTCACAGGAAAACCAAAACTATTAGTTATTATTATTATTAAGCTACAAAAGTGAAAGAAACGTGCAGCACGTAAAAAACTAAACTAAAAACAGTGGGGCGGACGACCATCCCGCACCACCGCTAGCTGTGGTGCGCATTAGGTTTAGTTTTAGAGATTAATATGTTTATAGTTTTTTTTTTAATAGGTTTAGAGATTCATATTTTTTGCTTTTTGTTTGTGGAACAAGATCAGAAGAAGCTGATTCTGGTTCGATCGATTGGACCCGGTGTTACACTATATTCTGTGACCTGCAACAGTGCATGCAACACCACCCCCTACAGTCACAATATACGGTGGTCACAGAATATAGTATAGCACCGGTTCACAACAAACTCCAAACAGTCAGGAAGTTGATTCATTTTCTGTTTCATTATGGTAATTGAACCAGAAAATTCATCTTTAGTGAAATATTTCCATACTATTGATGCATTTCTACCTGTTTGCCAAGACTAGGCCTGCTTCGTGGTATTCGTCTGGGAGGAATCCATTTTTAAGCTTCTACTAGTAGCTCGGTGCGGATCACGTGACACAATGACGTCACTGCGAATACTCGACATGAATTTTAAAAACTTGGTAGATGTCCTAGGAATCGACCTGTCGATTACTCGAGTAGTCTGTTAAAGCCCTACGTGTGTGGGAGATTTTTCTCTCCCGACACCGGCGGAGCCTTGCTGTTTGAGCATCTGTTTGCGTAAATACCAGAAGAAATAAAGCAAATTAATCACTCTAAAGGCTCGCACATAGTCGAGTGGACCTCAGTCCGCGGAGGTCCGTGTGTACCGGATTAGACTCGAAGTGGACGCCCGCAGGTCGTGTGTGCAAAGCTCAATTTTTATAACCGCGTACGTGGTGGTGCACAGTAAACTGCCCAGCGATGGACTGTTTTGTATGAGACACCAATGTATTAAATTCCCCTTCTTCATCCCTGATCTGGTTTAATGGCCTTTTTTTTTTGTTTGTTTGTTTTCCAAGAGGCATGTGATCTCTTCCTCCTCCTCCGTTGATGCCATGACTGAAATTGTGAAAAATTAAGTAATTTCAGTTCACTGGGTCAGTTGATCATGTGCATCTCCACACCTCCAGTCATCTGCGGTGAAGGAAGTAGCAGCATAAAAGCCGAAGCAAAAAAGAAAAATACATTAAAAAATTAATAAATAAGCCAGCGCGATCATTTAAAATAGCCTTGTTCTATTTCTTCCAAATGATTTTGCTTAAACAAAAACACAAAATGCCTCATTACGTATCGGCTCCTGCCCATTTCTCTCCAAATCACAGAGATGTCTATTCACATTGGATTAGTATTATCACAGGACCTCGGAGTTCAGCAAAATATAGTAGGTAATTTGCGGGGGAATTTTTACTTTACAAATTACTGACATGGCTGATTTGCACGGGATTAACGACACAGACAATCTCTGTAATTATTACAAATAGCATGTGGTTCCTTGGTAAAACTATGGATATTTGTCTTTGTGTTTTTCTGCTCTAAACCAGTTCATTTCCTGGAGAACACCAAACCTCTCCTTTGTAGCAGCTACCCAGTCATTTTCACACCTATCAGGAATTTACATCCATGTCACCAGAGTGTCTCCACTGTGAGTCAACAAAGACCTATTGTGACGATTGATATGCATCTAGCTTGTTCACAGTGGGAGCTGCAGCAGCAGGCAGTTTTACACAGCAGGAGGTGAGGGAGCGGGTGAGGGGCTGGGTTTGTATTCAGTGAGGGAGAGGAGGAGGGGCCACATGAAGACGCAGACGGGGAGAAAAACTGGTGTATTTTCAAGTATAGTTATAACTATGTAGAGCAGGTGTGCCCAACCAGTCGCTCGCGGGCGACTGCTGGTTCCCAGTCGCCCGCGAAGCGAAGCCTTGACTTGTATTCTCACAGACATAGTCTCGCGAGTTTTGGGTGCGGTGACACAGTGCTCTCACGAGACTTGAGGCTCAGTAGTGGAGTAATGTCGGTGCGCAGAAAACATGGATGGAAAACTAGCGAACAAGCAAACGAAAACTTATTATTTTCACACAGAGTGGGAGGAGGAGTATTTTTTTGTTTATTCTAATTCGAAGTCTATTTGCCTCATCTGTAATTCGAGCGTTGCCTTACCCAAAAAGTGTAACTTGGAGCGGCATTTCAAGACGATGCACAAACAGTTTGAGACAGATTTCCCTCTTAAAAGTTCTTTACGGACTCAGAAAGTGCGGGAGCTAAAAAACAAGCTTGCAGCCCAGCAGTCAGTCTTCACTCGGCCCAGCACAAAAGGTAAAGCTGCTACGATAGCTTCCTACCGTGTTAGCCGCATCCTGGCTCAACATAAGAAGTCTTTCAGCGATGGACAAGTTATGAAAGAAGCGTTTATTGAGGCTGCAGATGCGCTTTTTCATGATTTTAAAAATAAAAGTGAGATCGTAGCTGCTATTAAAGACGTGCAGTTGTCCAGACAAACAGTGACACGGCGATGTGAGGGAATGGCTGTGGATGTGGAGGAGCAGCTAAAAAAGGACGTGGAACAATGTGAGTGTTTCTCTCTTCAGTTTGATGAGTCGACAGACATGGTGGATGTAGCCCAGCTGTGTGTTTTTATCAGAATGGCCTTTGCAGACATGAGTGCAAAAGAGGAGCTGCTCACCATCTTGCCTTTGAAGGGACATACAAGAGGAGAAGATATTTTTAATGCGTTTATGGAGTTTGTTAATAAAAGCAACTTGCCCCTCTTTAAACTAATTTCTATAACAACTGATGGCGCTCCAGCAATGACTGGTCACACCAGTGGATTTGTTGCACTCTGCAAGCAGAATGATGCTTTCCCAGACATTTTGCACTATCACTGCATCATCCACCAACAGGCCCTGTGTGGGAAGATTTTAAACATGAAGGAAGTGATGGATGTTGCCATGAAAACTGTGTGCTCTATAAGGGCCAGGAGTCTGCAGAGGAGGTTGTTCCGGGCTCACTTGGAGGAGGCAGGAGCAGACCACACAGACCTGCTGCTGCACATGGACGTCAGGTGGCTAAGCAGAGGTAAATTTCTGGACAGATTCAGTGAGCTGTTGCCTGAGATCAGGGATTTTCTGAAGCTGTCAGATCATGGTGAACATTCAAAACTAGAGGACACCCAGTGGCTTTTGGATTTAGCCTTCCTCACAGATCTCACCAGCCTGCTCAATGAACTGAATTTGGAGCTTCAGGGAAAGGACAAAAACATAATCCACATGATCTGTTCTGTGAGCACCTTCAAAAGCAGGCTGCAACTGCTCACAAGTCGGCTGCAACGCAGGGACCTGCGAAACTTCCCACACATGGAGGCAGAGCTACAGCGCCAAAGGAAAGAAGTCCCACAACTGGACAGTGCACACTATTCTAAGCAGGTTCAGAGCATCTCAGCAGAATTTGAGAGACGATTTACTGACTTTTCCTCCATCGAGCCTGTTACCAGCTACATGTGTTATCCTTTTGGAAATGTTGATGTGGATGACATTGTGTCCAAATTGGTGTCCGTGTTTCAGCTGGACAGCTCTGGTGTTGAAAATGAGGTGTTGAGTCTGCAAAATGACATTGGGATCAAATCCAGAGCATCACCTGGTGTGGATGGAGAGTTCTGGAGTCTGCTGTCAGAAGAAAAGTATCCTAACATCCGAAAATGTGCTTTGAACTTAACAGCACTTTTTGGATCTACCTACCTGTGTGAGTCTGCTTTTTCACACATGAAAATCATCAAGTCCAAAAACAGATCCACAATGAATGATGATCATCTGGAGACCTGCCTGCGCCTCGCAACCACCTCATACTGCCCAGCTTATGAGACCCTGGCCTCCTCCTCTCAGTGTCAGAAGTCCCACTAAGGTAGAGACACATTTATTTTATACAGCTTGCATAAAAAGTTGTCTCCTATAGACACATCACGTTCTGTTTTATTTACTTTAAAGAAGTGAGGAGTAGGGATTGATGAAAAATTATGTTTGTTGATAATGAGACTGGACGAGTAGCTCTCGGCAAATTGCCGACTTCAAAAGTAGCTCTTGGTTCAAAAAAGGTTGGGCACCCCTGATGTAGAGTATGAGACTATCTTTTTATATCGATATAGTCTCATTTTATATCGCATATGAAATTATCTCAATATTTTAAACAATATATATTTAAACAATATATTTTAAGTAATATTGAGATATTGCCCAGCTTTTCTGGGCAGTTCTCCCCATATATGATTGGGCTCTATGGGTACTGTAGTTTCTTCTGGTAATTCAAAATTTGCCTTAGGAGTAATCATGAGCATGGTTGTCTGTGACTCTGTGAGGGACTGCTGACCTGTCAATGCTGAACTCTGCCTCTCATCAAATGACTGCTGGAAAGGGGCTCAGACTCTGAGCCTCAGAGTCTCCAGCATCCTTGACATCAATACTCTCATACGGCAACTGTTGGTGGCAAATTTTGAGCAGCTTTTGCAAGAAAGTCTTCAAATTGTCTTGAAACATTTGCAAGGGTTCTCACTTGTAAACCCTTTTTTGCAAGTCAGAAAGTGATAGAAATGTAAGAAGTTTCATTGGCAACCAATAAAACCTAATTTTAACAAACTGGAGACAAAAAGGACAATAAACTGCTATGAAATTCAGACATAAGAAACTTTGAGATTAAATTGAGAAAATATGTTGGCATCATTCACATGAATGTCAAGCAACTGTCACAGTTAGGCCTGTCACGATAACAAATTTTGTTGGGCGATTAATTCCATCCATCCATCCATTATCTTTTACCCTCTTCTTCCATTTTGGGTCACGGGGGTCACCGGTGCCCATGTCCAGCAATCACTGTGTGAGGGGCGAGGTACACCCTGGACAGGTCTCCAGTCCATCACAGGGACACATAGAGACAAACAAAACAAACAACCATTCACTCTCTCACTCACACCTAGGGACAATTTAGAGTTACCAGTCAGTCTAACATGCATGTTTTTGGTCTGTGGGAGGAAACCGGAGTACACGGAGAAAACCCATACCTACACGGAGAGAACATGCAAACTCCACCCAGAAGGCCCCCGGACCGGGATTTGAACCAGGGACCTGCTCACTGAGAGGCAGCAGCTCTACCAGTTGCGCCACCGTGCTGGCGATTAATTGCCTCAGAAATTAATCCGATAAACAATAGTATTGTTTAAAATATGACATTAGTAACTGCTGTCAAAGTTGAGAAGAAATGTATGTTAATTTCTGTGTAGTACCTTTTTTTGATCCCTGGATGGCAGTATAAGACTATTTGAACCGAAGGATGGATAGTGAGGAAGCGAGCAGCATGTCTCTTTAAAAAAAATGGGAGGGAGGCCCCTTGACATGACATGGGCTGTCTCATTCTTGTTTTTTGGTTTTCAAAATAGTGGACGCTCTGTATGTTTTGAGCTCTTTAGCGTAGCATTTGTCACACAAAGCTTTTAATAAAAATTCAGTGAACAAGTTCTCAGCTTCTTTTTGCAGAGAAAAACAACTTTTTAGACTAAGGCACAGGTTTCAACCTTGAATTTTGGAGCTTCGACAAGACTGAGGTTTTTTCCTGAGGTCAGCCTGTTAGCTTAGCTCATATCTTAGCTTCTCAGCTTAGCTGCTTTTAATGATCAAAAAAACACGATTTTGGATCATTAAAACAGATTTTAAAGAGAAAGGGAGGAGTCAGTGAAGAGCACCGGAGTTGAGCTTTTTGTCATCCAGTGTCTTCAGTAGAAAGTGAGAGACACGAAGAAACAATAAAGCTGATAATGAAAATGAGGTCGATCATTTTCATTTATCATGCGATTAATTGATTTATTGTTTATCGCGACAGGCCTAGTCACAATTTCTTCACAGGTATGTCCCTCTACAAAGATGTTGTAAATTACCAATTCAGTTTATTATTTTGAAATGCCCTGCTGAAGCAGATCATATTACATTAGTATCACGATAGTAGAACATAAATCATACCTTTTTCTTGATATTTTGCAACTCTATATAGACTAAATCTTTTGTTTACAATCAACTGAATTTCAATGAATGATTATGACAAAAAATTTAACATGTTATTGTAACTTGAGGAAAATTAAAATAAAAAAGACAAAGCTGGAAAGGGCAAGGGATGCAAAATCAGATGAATATTTGTGACAGACGTAGCATTAAACAAAGAGAAAATCCAGCAGCACTTCTGGTAAATGTCTGATTAGAAAACTTTCTGTCTCTTTGCGTTTCCTCCTCAGTCATGGTTTGGGTCATTTCTTCTCCTGTCGAGGAATAGCTCTGGCCGTTCAGCACTTCTGGGACCGAGGCCATCGTCAAATCAGCACTCTGGTGCCGCAGTGGAGGCAGAAGAGCGACCACAGGATCAAAGGTAACCCTTTATCACACTCCTCCTTTTGAAAATTGCAATAAAATATTAGAAAAGTTTAAGTAATTACACTTATGAGATTTTAAATAATAGATCTCCTCAAATGTTTTTTTTACATTCTAAATGATGAGTAGTTTGTTGAGATTTGACAATTAATCACACGGACTAGCATTGAGATGGTTTGGTTTACGAGCATGCTGGTTTGAAAACTTTTTGTAAAAATGGCTCCGTTCTTTGATTTTAGATCACAAAGTATTTGTGGCATGTGCAAAACAGGCTGCTACGTCCTTGTTTTTGAAAAGGTTTGTCTCTTGAGTCCACACAAATACACCAAGACCTCCATCCATCCATTATCTTTACCCGCTTCTTCCTTTTCGGGTCGTGGGTGTCACTGGTGCCCATATCCAGCTGTCACTGTGAGAGGCGGGGGACACCCTGGACAGATCTCCAGTCCATCACAGGGACACATAGAGACGAACGAGACAAACAACCATTCACTCTCATTCACACCCAAGGACAATTTAGAGTTACCAATCAGTCTAACATGTATGTTTTTGGTCTGTGGGAGAAAATTCTAGAACTGCGCTGGAATTCTAGAATTGCGCCGCTCAAGGTGGCTGCATGTTGGAGCAGCTCTGTTACTTTCATTCTGAGATTTTGCTTTTGGAAACTTTAATTCCTCTTTTTCTGGATGTAAATTACATTTTTTGGATGATTGTTTCCTCTGGTATCAGATGCTGTGCAGCTGGAAGGATTTTTACTGAAACTTTTATAGTTTGGGACATTTGTTATGATGCGTAACCATGGCAACAAGGCAGTTTTCTACAACCAACAGCAGCTGATTAACATCTCAAAAGCTCAAATAATATCTCAACTACAGCCACAAATCTCAAATGAGTTGAAAAGGATGTTCTGTGGACGCATTCTCATCTACCTGCCAGCTGTGCTCGCGTGCCTGACCACTGAGATCCTGGACCTAGCAGGAAACACGGCTCATGACAGCTGAAGGACAGGATCGTCCCTCGACACCTACAGTTGGCTGTCCGCAGCAATGAGGAGCTCAGCAGACTGCTGGGAGGAGTGGCCATCGCTCTGGGAGGAGTTCTGCCCAGCATTTGGGCAGTCCTACAGCCCGAGGGGAACCGAGAGGCCAGCTGAGTCTGGGTGGATGGATCAGACGGCATCTGCAGCCAGTTTCTTAGGATCCACTGTGGGATGGACCTTTACAAGAGATCCTTCCTGCCTACAGCCATCAGCATCTATAACATCTCTTAATGAAATGAGGATAACGAGTTACAACAACAAATAATTTCCCTCTGGGATTAATAAAGTATTTTTGAATTGAATTGAATTGAAAACCCATGCTTACATGAAGAGAGCATAAGAACTCCACCCAGAAAGGCTCTCGGCCAGGATTTGAACTGGTGCGACCTGCTCACTGAGAACTCAGTCTTGTTAATTATATACTTTCCTCACTAAAACCTCTGTTTATATGTAGAGTAGAAGTGTAAACGCAACAGAAAATCTCATTTTTTGTATGTATCTGAAGTAGGATAGACTAGGCCTAAGTGTCTGTACAGCCCATGCAGCCAAAGTACCAGTACATTTGAATATAACTTGTTACTTTTATCAGTTAAAAAAAAAAAGTAGAAACCAAAAATTATATCAATATTAAACATTCGCATACAAACAAAAACAACCTGATGTGACGCGATTAAACATCATCATTTTACTGAATTTCTGAAAAACCTGTTTACATGAATTTATAATTTTTTTATTTGCACATGCCTTCGGATATGTATGTTCTGTTAAATATATGTATAAGAAAAATGGCTTGGGATTACCCATAATGCACCCATCATGAAGCATATATTGATATTAGGGGTGTAAGGGTACGCTAAAATCACATTTCGGTTCGGTTTAGTTTCAAGGAGGGCTCGGTTCGGTTAATTTTCGGTACAAAAAAGGCCAAAGTAAAGACTTACAAAACGTTTATTTTGAAAATATGCCAAGTAAACAATACATTTGTATAAAAATTAATTTAAAAATTCCCTGAAGAAGAAGAAGACGCTGAAACTGAGTTAATAAGATTATAATTTTAAATTAAAAAGGTTAATTAGATCACAATAATACAATAACAATACCTCTTCTTGCATAGTCATCATATGAGGTGGTTGAATATCCTCTCGCTCATCATCGATGTGGCAGAGCTTTAAATCTGGGGTCCAGGGCTTGTTGACAATATCAGTTTTAGCTTTTTCATAAAGTGCTGCTACAACTTTTTGGCTGAAGTGTTGACGTGATGGGATGTCGTAGGCAGCGGGGCTCAAGAACTTGAATCATATGCTTAAAGCCGGCGCGTCAACAACAGAATACGAATGTAGATCCAGAGCTTTAAAAACTCAGATAAACGATAATAATGTTTAAAATTTTTAAATTTAAGAAGAAATTATTTCTATTTTATCTTATTTTGGTTTGCATGTAGTACCTTTTATGGACCACCGGATGGCAGTATAAGACTGTTTGAACCGAAGGATGGCTACTGTGGGAGCGAGCAGCATGACTCTTTAAGAAAAATGGGAGGGAAGCGCTTTGGAGCTTTGACAAAACAAGAGTTTTTTTTCTGAGGTCGGACTGTTAGCTTAGCTCGTAGCTTAGCTTCTCAGCTTAACTGCGTTTAACGATCCAAAAACGCGCTTTTGGACGGTTAAAACAGATTTTAAAGAGGAAGAGAGGGCTCAGTGCAGAGCACCAGAGTTGAACCTTTTTCATCCAGTGTCTTCAGTAGAAGAAAGAGAGAGACATGAAGAAACAATAAAGCTGATAAATGAAAATGAGGTTGATCATTTTAATTTATACAATTAATTGATTTATTATTTATTGCAACAGGCCTATTTTAAATATTAATTGTATACACAAGTGGTACTTGAGTTTTAAAGAATATTAAAAGATAAATATTATAATTCCTAGGTAACATTTAATGCCTTTCATAAGAAAACATGAGTTGTAAGACATTTGTATTGTACATAATCTGTATTTTTTTGGTAAATAATGAAAACTAAATTAAATGTTTCTTTAGCTGGATTCATCAGTTGATAACCAGTGTTTACTGTAATGTGTGCAGTAACATCCATCCATTTTCTTCCGCTTATCTGGGGTCGGGTCGTGGGGGTAGCAGCCTAAGTAGGGAGGCCCAGACTTCCCTCTCCCCAGCCACTTGGGCCAGCTCTTCCGGGGGAATCCCGAGGCGTTCCCAGGCCAGCCGAGAAATATAGTCCCTCCAGCGTGTCCTGGGTCTTCCTCTGGGCCTCCTTCCGGTGGGACGTGTCCGGAACACCTCACCAGGGAGGCGTCCAGAAGGCATCCTAAACAGATGCCCAAGCCACCTCAACTGGCTCCTCTCGACGTGGAGAAGCAGCGGCTCTACTCTGAGTCCCTTCCGGATGATCGAGCTTCTCACCCTATCTCTAAGGGAGAGCCCAGACACCCTGCGGAGAAAACTCATTTCGGCCGCTTGTATCCGAGATCTCATTCTTTCGGTCACAACCCAAAGCTCGTGACCATAGATGAGGGTAGGAACGTAGATAGATTGGTAAATTGAGAGCTTCGCCTTTTGACTCAGCTCTCTCTTCACCACGACAGACCTGTACAGCGCCTGCTTCACTGCAGACGCCGCACCTATCCGCCTATCGATCTCACACTCCATTTTTCCCTCGTTCGTGAACAAGACCCCAAGATACTTGAACTCCTCCACTTGGGGTAGGACATCCTCCCTGACCCGGAGAGGGCACTCTACCCTTTTCCGGCTCAAGACCATGGCCTCAGATTTGAAGGAACTGATCTTCATCCCGGCCGCGTTGCATTCGGCTGCAAAACGGCTCCAGCAAAAGCTGTAGATCACGATCTGATGAAGCCAATAAGACCACATCATCTGCAAAAGGAGATGCAATCATAAGGCCACCAAAACGGATCCCCTCAACACCTTGGCTGCGCCTAGAAATTCTGTCCATAAAAGTTATGAACAGAATCGGTGACAAAGTGCAACCTTGGCGTAGTCCAACTCTCACCGGGAACAAGCCTGACTTACTGCCGGCGATGCGGAGCAGGCTCTGACACCGGTCATACAGGGACCTAACAGCCCGTATCAAAGGGCCCGGTACCCCATACTCCCAGAGTACCCCCCACAGGGTTCCCCGAGGGATGCGGTCGAACGCCTTCTCCAAGTCTACAAAGCACATGTAGACCGGTTGGGCAAACTCCCACGCACCCTCCAGGACCCTGCTGAGAGTGTAGAGCTGGTCCAGTGTTCCACGGCCAGGACAAAAACCGCACTGTTCCTCCTGAATCCGAGGTTCAACTATCCAACGGACCCTCCTCTCCAAAACCCCTGAATAGACCTTACCAGGGAGGCTTAAGAGCGTGATTCCCCTGTAGTTGGAACACACTCTACGGTCCCCCTTTTTGAATAGGGGGACCACCACCCCGGTCTGCCAATCCAGGGGAACTTCCCCCGATATCCACGCAATATTGCAGAGTCGAGTAAATGTGACTACAAATTTATTCTCCCACTGTTACTGCACACCCGCTCCCTGGGCTGCCACCTTACCGTGGTGGAGGGGTTTGAGTGTCCCAATGATCCTAGGAGCTATTCTGTCAGGGGCTTTACGCCCCTAGTAGGGTCACCCATGGCAGACAGGTCCTAGGTGAGGGACCAGACAAAGTGCAGCCCAAAGACCCCGATGATGAGAGAAATAAACGGACTTAATGTTCCCTTGCCCGGACGTGGGTCACCGGGGCCCCACTCTGGAGCCAGGCCTGGAGGTGGGGCACGCGGGCGAGCGCCTGGTGGCCGGGCTTTTACCCATGGAGCTCGGCCGGGCACAGCCCGAAGAGGAGACGTGGGTCCCCCTTCCCATGGGCTCACCACCTGTGGGAGGGGCCAAAGAGGTCGGGTGCAATGTGGGATGGGTGGTGGCTGAGGGCGGGGACTCTTGCGGTCTAAT